TTTTTTTTTGAGGGGGCAGATGATAATTTTCAATTCTATGGGGAGCCGGGCCCCCCTGGACTCCCCTTTCGTACGTCTATGGCAAGGGAGTTAAGCCATTGAAGTCGAGGATGCCCAGAAAGGAGCCTCTTAGCATCCGACAACGGAAGAAAATGAAACACAGTTACTAAAAATATCATTCTACATATACTCAAAATCTTGAAAATCTCTAAAAAAGTAAGGAAAATTTTATAGTGCCCTAGCCCCTAGCGTGTTTTTGAAACTTTATTCACCTTTTGCGGAATTTTTAGGGTAATTTTTTCACTTTTCCCTACGAGACAAGGGTTACACATGAATTCGTAGAGGTTTGTCACCTGCGTCACGGGCCCCTCCAGGGCCCGGGCCCCGGTACCAGGGACCCGGTATCCCTCCCCTTGTGGCGGGCCTGCACAGCTGAGCCAAAGCGTCAAGATTGAGGTTGCCAGATTTTCGTATTGCAGAGAGTGTCATGGTAATTTTTCGTGTGCGATTTGACTCACGTTTACACTATTGAGTTTTCATGAATGGGAGGTTTGAATTCGCGCGTCAAGAAACATTGAATATATTGGTTAGGAATTAATTTCAGTAATTTTCTCTGCGCGAATCGTGTCCTCCGTAAAATTTTGGTTGAGAAATTTGTTTCAGAATGCCTAACGTTTGGTACCTTGTCTAGTGGTCCATTTTAAATTTCAATCCAGATTCATCGAGTTCGGAAAATTTGATCTAATTTTGTGTACGGACGAAAAATTTGACTGTGAGACTTCGGTTTTACAACTTCGAGTGCAGTTAAAAGTAGCTTACCGATGAGCAGGTCAAAATCCATCCAAGAGCACAAAAGATGAGTGCCTCGCTGAGGCCTAGGACGTACAGAAGCTCAAAACCTTCTAAGGCAAGGCAGTGACAGGCAAAAAATATAGTCAAAGAACAGTTGATTGCAATACTCAAAACGAACGTGAAGAACCACATCCTAAGAAAAAGAAAAATACAATTTTCAACGACTAATTGGATAGCATTTTGCAATAAGGAACCACTATCTCTGGCTCTCCCATAAAAGCACATATCTGCATAGGGAAACCAATGACGTGTATGCTGTTTCTAAAATGGGCCGGAAATAGTGGTTCCTTATTACAAAATGTAATCCAATTTACAGAAATAAGGGCTTCAAATCTGTCGTGCTAAGGAAGAACGCCGTATGAGCCGTTAGGCGTTGCCAAATTTCCTTTGATAAAACACGAATTTTCTGATTAACTTATAAATATTTTTCTTCTGATTTCTCATATTAATTTGCTCGCAATCTCAACTAAAGTTTCTGAAATTTTCAAGGAAAAATTTGTAGGTATAACTTCCCTTGAGAATGAACATTTTATCAAAGGAATTTTGGCAACTCCCGAATGTTCATACGGTGTTTTTCCTTATCTAGGTAGAAAAAGGGTTTAATCCTCCTCCGCTCATCAAGTAAGATGAATTTTAAATGAAGACAATTTTAAGTTATGTACTATTTATTAGGAGAGAAAAGTTGGTCCAGAATTGTTGCCTCATTTATAGTGGATGCACAATCCAGTGTTTTTCTTTGGCTTGTCTGACATCCAAACATCCGTCCATACGCTGAAATTGACAGTTGAATAAAAGAGTAAATTGATACATATTTTTTTCCCATCATTTTAAATGAGAATAATCAAAGCAGAGTGTGCAAACATTTCAAAATCATGAGTTAAAAAACGCTGACTATCCGAGTATAAATATTAAAGCCTAACAGAGCGGAGCGGCGTGCTGCCAGCGCGAGAGGCTCACTGGCGCCTACAAACCTAAGTGGATACTTCACGCATTGCACAATGCTTGAAGTATCCACTTAGGTTTGTAGGCGCCAATGCGCGTTCCGCGCTGGCCGCCCGTCCGCCGTGCGGCGGCGCCTGAAGCAACTATTTCACAACAGAAGTGTTGCACAGTATTATACGATATTGAACGTATTAAGAATGACAGGCATCCTTTAAAAGCACAGATCTTTCCTCGCAAAATAAATCAAGATACTTATCGTACACAGGAAAAATCTAAGAGCCTTCAGCTGAGGCAAATATAGAGGTCTATCCGATTCAGGTATAACAAGGTGGGAATTTCTTGAAAGATAATCTGGAAAATATACTGGATATACTGGAAAAAACAGGTGCGCGGACAAAAAATCGTTGACGAAATGTCCTAAAACCGAGTTCCTCTAGAGATAACCGCAACTGAGAAATGCCCTCCCTGCGCCTGCCGCACAGTAGACCGAGTCAATAAGAGAAGTCGGACAAAATTTGGAAACTTTAAACGCTTATAACTCCGTTTATGCAAAACTTTTAGGTTCTGAAAGTGGCTTCATTGGTTTCCTCGTGAAATTTTATTCACGAAGCATCCCTTAAAATTTAAAATATGACGAAATAAACATCGAAATTTGCAGTTTTAGTAAAAAATTTCATGCCCGACCTCTCCCATTGACTCGATCCATTGTGCGGCGCTTCACATACTGATGCCGAAAATGACACGCCAGCGGGCCGGTTATTGAAATTGATAGGCAAAGCTATAGAAAAAGATGACAAAAGGGATATGGAGGGATCCTATTGGTGAAAGCAGGTGGTTGCAATGGACAAAGGCAGTGGGTAATAGACAAACTAACGGCAACCCACGAGAAACCCGACAGTTAGTCCATCATTTTCTCCCTTAGTCTATAAGAACCATGCATTTCAACCAATAGGATCGCTCCATAACCCCTATGTCTTCTTTGTCTATAGCTTTGTCTATCAATTTCAATAATCGGCCCTCTGTTTGGCCTTTGCATAGCTTTCATTAGTTAATTCTCATGATTTCATGACTTTGAAGTCCCTAAAGGAGAATCCCATTGCTTACTACAACTTTTTTTTCTGACCTGTTCCGAACACCGACACAATTGTAGATGAAAGGGCAGTGATGGTCGAAGTGTGCCACGCAACGGTCGCAAATTCTGCAGTGTTTAGCTCTCAACGGCCGGACGCAACGACAGGTGTGGCATAGCCTCGTCAACATTCCATCACGCTTCTTGTTCCATTTATCGGAATGAGGAATCTGGAAATTGAAATAGATGTGTCAGGGTTGCCGTAGAATTTAGGAAACGGTATTCCCTGACATTTCCCTGATTTCCCTGATGAATTTTGGTGAAATTCCCTGATTGCAGAAGGTATGACAGGTAGTTAAGAAGACATAATTGAAAATATTTTTCAGGCAAAATGTGTTGTTTGAAACCTCAAACTCATTCTAAGAAGCAAATAACGGTGATTTAACAAGTTTTCCCTGACATTTTCGTCATGTTTCCTGACATTTCCCTAGTTTTCCCGGAATTCCCTGACTGTGGCAACCGCGGAATACAGGGTCTTCTCATTTTGCATCCCGCGGGAAAAGTGCGAGAGACTGCATATGAAACCTCAAATGTATTGTAGGAAGAAAATAACGGTGATTTAACATGTTTTTCCTGACATTTTCGTCATTTTCCCTGACATTTCTCGGTTTTCCCTGACTTATAAAAATTTCCTGACATTTCTCTGTTTTCCCGGCATTCTTTGACTGTTGCAACCCTGATATAAGCAAAATTCTTGTGACCGTCTTTGGAGAGAAGAGAGAAAGGGATATAGTACCGAAAAACTAAAAATTGAAATAATTGAACTATATATTTTCAAAGGAAGCGATTCCCACCCTTGCCAACTTTCCGTTTCGTTGAGAGAAAACTAAAGTCACACCCGATTTCGATAAAAGTGTGGAGTGGAAAAAATGAGCTAACCCAAAGTAATGAGACGCAGAAGTCTACTGCCGTGCTAAGGATAAACGCCGTATGAACATTCGAGAGTTGCCAAATTTTCCTTATTCTGAGGAAAGTTATGACTATTTTTCCTTGAAATTGTCAGATACTGTAGATTTGATTGCAAATGAAATTTTGTGAAAATTTGGAAGAAAAATATCCGCAAGTTTTCGAGCAAATTCGCATTTTATCAAAGGAAATTCGGCAATGTCTGAAGGCTCGCACGGCGTTCTTCCTCAGAAGTCAGAACGGCAGTCGAGTGAAACATCGATTTATAAGGTTTGACTGAAAGCAACCATTCTTGCTGAATGTGTTGCATGTCAGCAAATTGAAGGCGCTAAAGCTTATCAAACGCTGGCATTACTCTGTTAAGACAAAAGCAGGCTTTCTTCAGATTTGCTCTGCAAAGGCTTTCCTCTGCATAGGCAGCAAAACGTTGTCGCATATAATGAAGTATCCGGTATCCTTGCCCCCCTACCCCTCCCCCCGCGATCTCCCGTCACACAATAATTTAAAAGTCGCTGTTGTATACCTCAAGCGCCCTTTAATTTTGGATACATCCTCGTCAACTTTGAAATAAATTTCACTCACCTGGCGGATAATTCGATGATAGGTTTCAGTGTTACAAGGGATGTATCCTGGATCAATCCTATTAGCAATAGTCCAACACACCCACATTACAGCGTTCCAGTAAAGGAAAATATAATGCCATCCTCTGAGAGTGTTCCACGTTAAAGGTATACACTGAAACACAAATTAAAATTGTTCAGATCTCAGGATTGTATCCGTTGGCTTGGCAACAGACTGGTTTCCTGAACTGTTATAATCATTCTAAATGGATAGTTTTCAATTAGACCGCGTTAAGCAGAAAGGAGCCGAGCCACCTCAGCTGTTGCCAAATTCTATTGGGCAGTTTAATTTTTTTACACGAAAATGGTTGTACGAATGGAGATGTTGCATGTGTGAGGGCTTTGCGATTTGACCATCGATTCTCACGTAAAAATTCACGAGAAACACGGTGGTGGCACTGGTTTTCTCTAAAATCATCTCCCAAGCTCGATAAAAGCTCTCAAAGTGAGGCTAAATGGAGGGGATATCCCACCCTACCCTGAGAGTCCACGTCTACATCAAAACAAACTCTCCATGCAAAGATAGGGAACAAATACATTAGCAGGGTTGCCACTTTATTTGGGGACTCCAAAACTGAAAACACGGCAACCCCGCTAATGTATTTGCTCCCTATCTTTGCATGGAGAGTTTGTCTTGATGTAGAGGTGGACTTTCAGGGTAGGGTGGGATATCTCCTCCATTTTGGACTCACTTTGAGAGCTCTTTTTGAACTTGGGAGATGATTTCAGAGAAAACCAGTGGCACCATCGTGTTTCTCGCGAACTTTTACTTAAGAATCAATGGTCAAATCGCAAATCCCGCACACATGCAACATCTCAATTTCAGTGAATATTCTGCGTAGTACGAGGCAAATTACTTAAAATTTTCAAAGGAATCCGCATAAAGGTCCTCTGGTAAAAAATTAATGTGCCAAGTTAAATTTGATAATCGCTGGTTATCGCTGGATAATCGGTGGCTTGGTTCTTTTCTACTGATTGTCAAACGCCAAGGGTCAAACGTCAAAATTGAGATTAAAATAAGTTAGAAACGCTACTTACCCTCAGGACGTACATGGGGTAGCACCACAAGAGAAATGATCCGAGGAACAAAAATAAGGGTCCTTTCGAATTTCCACCCCCTCCGAACAAGAGACTCCTAGGGACAATCAAATCATCTGGAATTTAACGTAAAGTAAAGCGGGGAAATTGATACGAATCAATCAGTCTGTGGGATTAAATGTAATTGTTTATTTTTAATAAAATACCATGCATGATGTAAAATTGAGCAGACCCATTTTATGTCACACTTCAAGTATTTTTATTCTTGAAAAAAATTATAGAGTACTGTTGTGGGTTAATTCATTTTAAAATTGTTCGACAATGAATAACTAAAAGTTGAACGGAACATTTTGACAAGATCTTATAATCGGGAAATATATCTGTGACATCTTAATATAAAGCTATACCTAAGATCTTTTGAATAAGCTCTCAGATAAGGATTTGACAGCCAAACTTTATTCTGTTGGTTTATAAATATATTTTCCTACTCGACTTTAAATTCAGGGAAGATTTCTTCCCTTCCGCCCATATATCCTCTCTAAAACATGAGTGGTGAATACTGACATCATGTTAGTGTGCATGTTATACCTGTCTTGTCTAAGACCCTCGTTTACCAGAAAAGTTCAGTTTTTAAGTTCCTTTTCTATATACACAAGTTATAGTGGAATTTTAGTAGATTTATTTTAGAAATCGGAGCATGAGTATGGGATGTAATAGTTCGAACTATATACTGCCGTGCTAAGGAAGAACGTCGTATGAGCATTCAGGCGTTGCCAAATTATCTCTGATGGAGCAAGAATTTATTGAGGAGGTTGTAAAAAAAAATTCAATTTTTTCAATCTACTTTGTTCCCAATTTAATCTAAAATATGTGATAATTTCAAGAAAAAATAGGCATACATTTCGTCAAAAATACACGTTTTATCGGGGAAATTTGGCAACTCTGGAATGTTCATACCGCGTTTTTCCAGAGCACGGCAGTATAACAAACCTTCAAAATTGCAAGAAATTAACTAGGTATTCCTGCATTTGTTTGCATGAAGAAAAAAATCGAAACTCTGAAGTTGACCCGACATACTGTTTCAACAGCTCTGAGCAGGACAACAGCAAGAGCACTCAATTTTTTCAAATTACTTATGCACATTCCGTGTGAAGATTTATGTTAGCGCTGTGTACAATGCTGCCTATACACTTGACTGAAGGCGTTTCTGGACGAGTCTAACATTAGAACTTGCTTACTTGCTCATTGTCGGAGAGACTGATAACTGAATAATATTACGCAAGTCTGAGTTAGCATACTACTATAATCAAACTAAAGAATGCGATTTGTAATGTACGTATGAAGTCTTACCAGATTTCAGACAAAGGAGGCATGATTCTGGCTCTCTTCTTGATCACAGTCGATAAGCACTCAATGATGTCATTGTGGCGATGACTGGTAGCCAACATCAGCGGAGTTTTCCCATTCTTGTCTCTTGGTTCTAGCTCCAGTTTGCTCTGCTCTCAAAATAAAACACAGGAATTTGAAATTTATTGATTTTATTAATAATTGTTTTCCTGTGAGGATGATCGCACATGGAACGATAAAGCCACACAACTCACAGCAAACAATATTCGTGTCTTTTTCAGTTTCAGGATCACTTGGACTACGTTTGACAATCAACCGCAATTTCCGGCTCATCCATAAAAACACATATGTCCATAGGGAAACTGGTGGGACATACGGTGTTTCTAAACTGAGCAAGAAATTATAGTTCCCAATGGAAAAATGAAGTCCAATAACAGCTGCTCTTTCTTTAGCATTTCATGCTCATGACGTAATCATGAAAGCCATGGCCACAGTGTGAAATCAAGTAGCCTCGTTTTGCGACGTTGCAGACCTCCAGTTCCAGTCATGCTTTATTTTTTTTCTAGAAAAATAGTCTAAGTAATTTTTTGAAAACTCCCTCGATATCTCATCCCTTTTTTCAGGATACTCATTGTAAATTTCAAGCTGTGAAGTTGATTTGCCTCTCCTCAAAAAAATGAAATGAGAGCGGACTTTTAAAACACCGCAACGGAGTAATGTGGTTTCGCTTTGACAGCGGACATTTTAAAACACCATAAAGTGGTTTCGCTTTGGCCATCAAAATTCTGTAGAAAGAAAAGCCAAAATAAAAGCTAAAAGCTAAAAAAAAACATTTTTATTATGTATCTTCGTATTCTAGCCATCTACACGAATAATTATTTTTATTTCGAAACGACTCACTGCAAGGTCTCTGCGTAAGGTCTCATTCTCTAGTCTTCGCATGCTGCTCGATAGTGCTGGATAATGCGCGATAATTGCACGCTGTATAATAGACGATTACATTATTTAAATTAAGGAAATAAATGGGAAGCTTTCAGATAGAATTATTTTTCATGCAAATTTTGCTGCCTGTTCATTACTTTTTTAAGTTATGCACTCTTATATCTAGGTTTACGCACCGCTTCACACAGAGTGCGGACACAATTGACGTTCCCAGAGAGGCATGCTAAGTGCAGTGGCGTCGATCCGAAATTGTCGGCTTTCTGAAGATCGACCCCTGAAAAGGTCAAGAGACGCACCACATCCGAGTGACCTGAAACAAATTTAAGGAAAATACTTTAAAACAAATCTTCACTTTTAAACAAAACCCCAAGAATTAGATACCTATTTCAATCTTCGAACTTCTTTCTGAACCGAATCACTCTTTAAAATGCAATGGTTAATATGTGTGCGAGTTAGCTTATATTTTTCTTAAAATGACAAAAAAAAAAACGAAAAGAACCAACAACACTTTAGAAGACATAATCAGCTTTTAAATGAGCCAATCATTTTAAATTTTGACATCAATGGCTAAAGTAAGTAGGTAACCACGTGTTTTCATTGCGGTGTTTTAAAATGTCCGCTCCGATTTTTATTTCACTGAAAAAAAAATCTCGGTGTATTTACTAAGAAAAGGGTACAATTATCAAGAATTCAGGGTTCTATTTAATTCCAGTTTTTTCTTGGTAAAATTACCATTTATGGAATTGGTAATTTTACCGAGAAATCTCGGTAAAATTATTGAACTTTCTCGGTAATTTTACTGAAACTTGGTAAAAACGCGCCAATATTTTTTATCGACTGTGGTAGAATTACCGAGAAAAAATGGCAAAGATACCGGGAATTGATTACCAATAAAAGTGGTATTCTTACCTGAAAAAAACAGTAAAAATACCGGTTTTTAGGTAAGCTTACCAGTCTGTCTTGGTAAAATTACCAATATTTGGTTTAAAAAGTGAGATGGTGAAAGTACCAACGGACCTTAGTAAAAACGCCTAGAATTTTTTTTCAGTGTTTTATCTTTTCTGGGGGGAGGGGCCAGCCAACTTTTAAGCTTGGAAACCATACAAATTTTTCTGCTAAAAGGGAAGCAAATCAAAGAGGATTTTCAAGAAACTACGTTTACTAGTTTGCCAGAAAAAGAACGGAATATATGGCAGAAAGTCTACAACATCGCAAACGGGGTACGTGGTTTCGTATACTTCGACCATCGATATGGCTTACTGCCCAAGTAGCAAAGTGCAAAAACCAATATGAAATAAGTTGCACTTTGATGCGATTAAAGCGGAAATTTTTCACAGTAAGTTCGCGACAAGTTTGTTTTAATTAGCCAATAAATACAGATTTTAAATGACGAATGAAACGAATTTTGTATCATAAGAATATGGGCAGTTTGTAATGCAAAGGAGCATTGAAACTTCTTTCAATTTTTTGCAACAGATTTCGACAAAAAGAGCCCCTTCAATTAGTAGAAAGGCAACTTACATAACATTTCGATACATAGTAGCAATAATATTGGACCATTGCAATTTGTGTTCTTTGGCTTTGGGTGAGAAATCACGAATTTTCTATAAACATCAAAGCGATTTTTCGGGAGATGGAAATGTGGATTACGCTAAATTTCTCGGAAAATGAGTGATTTATTTACTGACAGTTAAAGCATAGATCATGGACCTCTCTGACCAAACAGCGTATACGCGTATACAGCTGTTTGCTTGGAAATTCGCGGTAATGATAACCCATACCCTGAATAAGGTAGGTACCACTTGAATCTCACATTGGAAAAAAAACACACACATTGGATCTAGAGTCCAGACTCTTGAAAACATTGACAAGAAAAAATATTCTTGATTCAATCGGATTCTTGCTTGAATCAAAACGAAATCCGCTAAAATTAAGAGGATTGGTTCTTGATTTAAGCTAGATTCTGATTGAATCAAGAGTAATTTTTCTTGTCGATGTTACTAAGAGTCTGGACTCTAGATCCAATATGGTTTTTTTTTCCAGTGCACGTCAATAGCTGCAAAAGATCGGCAGATATGATTTTTTTAGTGCCCAAAGGTTGACCTATCGGTGCATTTCCGAACAAATAGCGTATACGAGCAAATTCACATAACTCCGCAATCCACCTCAGTCTCTTCTACTCTGTTAGAAAGTGGCAAAATTTCAAAAACCGCCCACGGTTCTGATGAGCAATCATTTCGAACGTGTGATTGGAACATGGCGGAAATCGTGCAACTGATGGTGCGTGTAGACTGATATACATAGTCCCATGCATTGTCAGTCCAGAAGTATTGACACACTAATCTCCACGTACTTCCTCGTTGTTCTCGTCTGGCGATTGAAATGCTCGTAGACAAATAAAATTTCACAATTTTAGCACGTTTTTCTTTACGGATTTTGAAGTTCTTCGCGCGCTCGGTGCTCGGTTTCATCGCCGATGGGAGTTCGAGACTACAGTGATGATCTAGTGCGATCGCTGCTCGTTTTGACGCAATAAGGTATGATATCTTCTATTACATTGTTGTCAAATAGTGTGCCAAATACCAAAAAACCTTCATCCCACGATAATGCACGACATGACGTTATTTTAAGTCATCGCCGCCTATTAGGATGTAATGGAGATGTTGCATGTGCGAGGAATTTGCGATTTGACTGTTGATTCTTACATAAAAGTTCGCGAGAAACACAATGGTGCATCTGGTCTTCTCTGAAATCATCTTCCAAGCTCAAAAAAAGCTCTCAAGTTGAGGCCAAAATGGAGGGGATATCCCACGCTATCCTGAGAGTCCACCTCTACATCAAGACAAACTCTCCATGCAAAGATAGGGAGCAAATACATTAGCAGGGTTGCCACTTTATTTAGGGACTCCAAAACTGAAAACACGGCATCACTGCTAATGTATTTGCTCCCTATCTTTGCATGGAGAGTTTGTCTTGATGTAGAGGTGGACTCTCAGGATAGCGTGGGATATCCCCTCCATTTTGGCCTCGACTTGAGAGCTTTTTTTGAGCCTGGGAGTTGATTCCAGAGAAAACCAATGGCACCATCGTTTTTCTCGCGAACTTTTACATAAGAATCACTAGTCGAATCGCAAATTCCTAACACATGCAACATCTCAATCCTGCTGAACAGACCCAAATACAGGTGGGAAAGAAGGGGTGTGCTCGTTGGAAAATGTAAACGCACCCTTATATGCGGCCCAGTGTAATGCAGTGTCACCGTTGATATCCACCAAATGGTGAAGAGCTCCTCTGCCGAGTAAATATGCCGTCGTAGCCGCACGACCAAACATACATGCAGTCATCAGAGGAGTCAGACCTTTGAAATCTGCTGCGTTCACAGCCACACCAGCCTAGAAAATGTTTCAATACACGACGCATTAGTTATATTGGTGGATCCTGGGGGGGGATGGTAGCATGCCCATCCCCCTTTTGGAGCAAAAAGGGGGAAATAGAAGGGGAAAATAACGAAAAGGGGAAAAAGAGGGAGAGAAAAAAATGTTCTCCTAAAAATTTAGAACTTCAGAGCTATCAAACTTTTAAGTTAAACAATCAAAATTACTGAGCGTCATGTCTTGAAAATACTTCTTTGATTTTTCTTATCTCTGTAAGGAATACCCTGGTAAAAATTGGCGATAAGAACTGCGTTTCAAAATACCATAGGAATTCTTATAGCCGGCCAAAGAAGGCTACAGAAAATCATAAAGCTGGCTGTAGAATGCGGAGAAAATCATACGGCCGGGCTATACGAAGCGATAAAAAAATATGCAGCCGGGCTGTAGTTCCTATCACCGGGCTTTACACTTTATCGCCTGGTGTTGCTTTTTCGCCATCGATTATAAAAGGTTATAAGAAATTGTGTAGAAATTCGTGTGCTTTGGAAATCATTAAGTTTGATACGGAACCACCTTAATATTTACAAACTACACATTATATTTTCCTTTAATACATATTTTTTTTCATCAATTAAAATGAGAATTATCCATACAGGACGTGCAAACATTTCAAAATCATGAGTTGAATAACGCTGACTCCGCCAGATTAAATATTAGAGCCTAACACAAAGCGGAGCGGCGACGCACTGGCGCCTACAAACGTAACAGGGATACTTCACGCATTGCGCAACGCGTGAAGTATCCATGTTAGGTTTGTAGGCGCCAATGCGTGTTTCGCGCTGGCTGCCCGCCTGCCACGGCGCTTGAAGCAACTATTTCACACCAGAGGTATTGCACAGTATCATACGAAACTGAAGGCGCTCTAATATATTAGTAATGGCAGGCATCCATCAAAAGTACGGAGCTTTCCTCGCAAAATGAATCAAGATACTACGGCCCAAAAAGAGAGCAGTATTCCAAAAACTCACTAAGTCCTAGCATCCGTAATTAGTAACGTTTAGCATACACTTTATCGCCTGGCTGTTGCTTAATCGCCATCGGCTATAAAATACTATAAGAAATTGTGTAGCCGGCTATAGAAGCTACTGGAAATCTTACAGCCGGCTGTAGGTCTATGGTATTTTGGAACACAGATTCTACTGCCAATGTTTACCAGGGTATTCTGTGAACATTTCAGTTTGGTCACATTTGAATTAATGAAATCGACAAGGAGATTTTTAAACACCGCAATCGAGATACCATTTTTGCAGTTTCACTTCACCGATAGTCGTTCCTCGATTAGCTCATTTTCTCAGGATGTAAAAAAATAGGACAAGGTCCAGGTCACGATCAAATTGAGCCATCAAACTGAAGCTCTGATTGGTGGCAAAAGACCTGAGGTGAGGATGCTACCAATGAGAGGCCTAATTTGATGGGTCAATTTGATCGTGTAACTGGACCAATAGGAATTACTTCCACATCGCCATTTTGGATTGAAAATGATAAAAAAAGTGACCGAAACTCGGCGCACACCGGGCTCGGCACTCGTCAGTCAGAACATGGCGGCAGCTCTCCCATTTGAATCAATGAGTTCGAAAACACACCAACTCGGAAAAAAAAATTGCTCAGGAAACACCTAAAACTGCGCAGCGGGCGAAGAAGTTAGTTTAAGAAAAACCTTTTTGGTGCCAAAGGACAAGTACTTAGAGACTTTGTAAAGCACGAAGTTGAAATCGATACACCATGTTTGATGACAGAGAATGAAGCGTTTAAAAATTTCCGAGTTGGTATGTTTTCGTTCTCACCGACTTTCAGATACTGATTTTTCATAGTCTGCCCAGAAAAATTTATATTTTTCGACCTGAATAACGCTTGAATATTTATATAATTTGTTGGTACAAGGTATACTGAACCGAAAAAAGAAAACCGGAAGATCGGATGGTCACCCGTTTCCCTTGAAATGGCCAAAAATTGGTATTTCCAATGAAATACTTCGATTTTCTCCCTTTCCCATCTCAGTTTCGAGCACTTCCGATTGCCATTTCGAAATTTCCTTTTGCGTGCAGATGCTTCTATCTATAAATGTTACTAAACCGTAAAAAAGTGAAAATCGAAAAAAGCCCGAGTTCGTGTGTTTTCGAACTCACTGATTCATTTACATTACGACTGTATGTACTCTATGGTTGTTACCTGTAAGAGGAGTTGTACGACTGCGGTGTGTCCCTTGCGGCAGGCCCAGTGGATTGGGCGGGATCCCTGGATGCCGAGGCAGGGGAAGTCGACGGGGACCTGGTGCTGGATCAAGTAGCGAACCACGTCTGCGTTCCCGTCCAGGGCGGCCCAGTGGGCAGGCGTGTAGCCCCACTCGTCCCGCGAGGACAGGGACTCCGGGCCCACCCTGTCCACTAGGTTGTCCAGATCTGTGATCGACCTGCAACGCAATTCAACCCAAACGGAGAATGGGTTAGTTGCGCTCAGTGTTCGAAACTCACCTTTGAGTTTTAGGAGCCATGTGACGCATCAAGCCCGATTTTTAGGCGCCATCGAAGATTTTTTAGGGGCCAAATTGACTTTTTGCCTATATATTACGGCGCATTTAATGAAAAGTTAGACCCAAGATGTTTTCGTAACAGAACTTGTAAGAAGCTGTAATTTGAGGAAGACAAAAGCACTGAGGATGAAATCGTGAAGAGTAGGAAAAGCTTCCACTTGTAGTGCTGAAAACTTCGAATAAGTAATCACCGAATATGAAAATTCAGATTTTTAGGGGACAATTTTTAGGGGCCACGTTGGGGCAGAGCCTTCATTTTTTAGACGCCATGGCCGATTTTTCAGGCGCATTTGGCGCATTGGCGCCTGTGAGTTTCGAACACTGGTTGCGTTACTGACTGAATCGTGACAAAATTTTTGATTTGCTTACAATTTTGTCGAGTTTATGGACGAGCAGATGTAACGGAATTCATATGAATACAAAATTATGAAAAAATAGGTAAAGGATTAAAAGATTGAACAATGGGTCAGTTGCGCTGGTCACAGAATCGTGTTTTGATGCTTGATTACGTATTATAGATTAGCTAAAAATAATGAGATCTGTGTACACAACAACTTTCTACGTCCAATATTAACCGAGATTTCGCTCTTTTCGAGATTTTCTTTTCAAAGTTCACCCTCCCCCCCCCCCCCCCCTCTTTTGGACCTTTCTTTCAAAGTTTTTCCTTCGGGCTCGGATTTGTTCCGTAACGCTGGGCTTGATCCTCCTCTCCCACCACCTTTAACGCACCGTGTCGATAGCTCAACCCCTCCCCCCCCAAATGCGTTACGTAATACTTGAACGGCCCCTAAGGCACTAAGGTGTGGGAAACTCACCCATTTCGGACGAGATCGAAGACGGACTTGAGGCTGTGCTAGAGTCCCTTTATACTGAGAGTCAAGACAACACCCCCTCATGGAGCCACAAACGGGAATAAAGATTACACAAATTGAACGTTTTTCGTAATCTTTGATCGGCCCATTCTCAAATTCCTTTCCCTGTTCCTTCTCTCATTCCGTTTGTTCCTTGCCGAACCCATAATTCCCTGGTCCATTCCAGATTATAATCTTTGCAATCGGTGAAAATGTAATCTTTTTTCCCGTTTGTGACACTCTGAAGGCCTAAAATACGGGAACCAATCAGAAATGGATTCGCACTGTCTTGACTCTCAGTATAAAGGGACTCTAGGCTGTGCAGGGAGTTGGTGAGGATGCCTTTGTCCTTGTCCTTGGAGTCCGCTAGCTCAACCCCCTCCCCCAATGCGTTACGTAGTACTTGAACAACCCCTAAGGCACTAAGGCCGAGGAAACTCACCCATTCCGGACGAGATCGAAGACGGACTTGAGGCTGTGCTGGGAGTTGGTGAGGATGCCGCTGTCCTTGTCCTCTGAGTCGGAGTTGGAGGTGGCCATGTTGCAGGACTGCCCAGTAGTCCTGGGGTCGAGTCCCCAAACGCACTGGGCAGCTACCGGGCTCGGGAAGACCTTCGACAACGTCTTGCCGCTGCTCGAGCCCTCGATCGCCACCGCCCCCGCGCTCGTCTCCGGAGTCAGAACGGCGGGAAAAAACTTGACGCCCGGCAAGAGGACATCCTTCGACTCTTCTTCCAAGTGAAGAATCTTGACTCAGAGCCCCGACATCTCCCGATACTCTCGCAGCCTCCTTTCAGACGAGCCGGTCTCTAGGTCCTCGGCAGCATCATCGTCGTCCTCTTTGTACCTACACAGTAAAGATTTTTTTTGAGTTGAATGAAAAAATAAAAAAAAAATGAAATATAAAAAAATAAAAAAAAATAAAAAATAAAAAATAAAAAAAATAAAAAGTAAAAAAAATAATGAATAAAAAAAATTAAAAATAAAAAAAATTAAGAAAAAATGAAAAATAAAAAAAAAATTAAAAAAAATTAAAAATAAAAAAAAATTTAAAAAAATTAAAAATAAAAAAAAAAAAATTAAAAAAAACACAGTAAAGATAAAGATAAAAGCTGGGAGCCCTCTCTAGTTTAGCTTAATTTTGGCCTCAGTCGCTAGAAAAACAGCCTCTGCAATGGAGATGTTGCATATGTGAGGGATTTGCGATTTCACTGTTGTTTCTTATGTAAAAGTTCGCGAGAAACACGATGGTGCCACTGGTTGTCTCTGAAATCAACTCCCAAGCTCAAAAAAAGCTCTCAAGTTGAGGCCAAAATGGAGGGGATATCCCACGCTATCCTGAGAGTCCACCTCTACATCAAGACAAACTCTCCATGCAAAAATAGAGAGCAAATACATTGACAGGGCTGCCACTTCATTTGGGGACTCCAAAACTGAAAACACGGCAACACTGCTAATGTATTTGCTCCCTATCTTTGCATGGAGAGTTTGTTTTGATGTGTTCTTGTCCTCGGAGTCGGAGTTGGAGGTGGCCATGTTGCAGGACTGCCCAGTGGTCCTGGGGTCGAGTCCCCAAACGCACTGGGCAGCGACCGGGCTCGGGAAGACCTTCGACAACGTCTTGCCGCTGCTCGAGCCCTCGCTCGCCACCGCCCCCGCGCTCGTCTCCGGAGTCAGAACGGCGGGAAGAAACTTGACGCCCGGCAGGAGCACATCCTTCGACTCCCCCTCCAGGTGAAGAATCTTGACTCAGAGCCCGGACATCTCCCGATACTCTCGCAGCCTCCTTCCAGACGAGCCGGTCTCTAGGTCCTAGGCAGCATCATCGTCGTGATCTATACCTACACACACACACACAGCAAGAATTTTTTTTTTTTTTTTTTTTTTTTTTAAATTCAGAGCTTGGAGCTCTCAGCGACAGGTGGAAGCTTTTACCTTCAGGGATTCAACAATTCTTCATGGACAATTGGACATATTTCTATCAAACATGCAGAACTATGTGCAGGTGGGAGGTGGGAAAGATGGGGTGTGCTCGTTAGTACTGGGGCCCTAAGAATGAATGAGAATGTTAAAGCGGCAGTGACGTAGCCGCCGCTCCGGTAGCCATTCGTCGTCTTTAACTCATGAGCCCTGTGCACAACGCTCTTGACACATGCCCACGGCTCATGGAATGTGCACATAGTTTCGTTTGACAGAATGTAAAATCCCGCTTTTCTAATGGAGATGTTGCATGAGTGGGGGTTTTGCGATTTGACTGTTGCTTCTTTTGTAAAAGTTCGCGAGAAACACGATGGTGCTGGTTTTCTCTGAAATCAACTCCCAAGCTCAAAAAAAGCTCTCAACTTGAGGCCAAAATGGAGGGGATATCCCACGCTATTCTGAGAGTCCACCTCTACATCATGACAAACTCTCCATGCAAAGATAGGGAGCAAATACATTGACAGAGCTGCCACTTCATTTGGGGGCTCCAAAACTGAAAACACGGCAACCCTGCTAATGTATTTGCTCCCTATCTTTGCATGGAGAGTTTGTTTTGATGTAGAGGTGGACTCTTAGGGTCAGGTCAGGGGTGTAGTTGAGCTTAATTTTGACCTCAGTCCCCGCACTTGCTTAGCACACATCCATGCTCCAGACTTTCAAATATACAGGGATTGAAGCTTAGATCCTCGGCAGCATCATCGTGCAGGGCCGGATTAAGGGGGTGGCCACATGGGCAAATCGGCAAATCTAGGGAGCGGCATATTTTGCAATTTTTTTTAAATGTAGGTATAAAAAAAAATCGGATTTAGAATAAAAGTACAAACGAGAAAAGGCTACAAAATCTCTCATTTCCTGAGAGTATAGTAATTTCTAATTTTGTCGTCTTTCAGTGATACAAGCGACAGCACCTTTAATTAGTCGAGCTAAGAGAGAAACCAAACATACAATTTAGCCTAGAACGGCGCGACTGAGGGAGAAATGATGACGAGGACTTGAGATGAAAGGGAGAAGCCCTCGGCGCGGCAATCGGCATGTAACACATATTAGCGCCTACAATACTGCAAGAATACTTCACGCATTGCATCAAAAACAGTGCGGTCATTGTAGCCAACGTGAAACGGATAGCGCCTACACGAATGCATGAATGCTTCACGCATTGCGCCAAACACAGTGCGGTCAGCGTGAAACGCATGGCGCCTACAAGACTGCGTGAATATATCACGCATTGCGCCAAACACGGTGCGGTCGGCGCGGCGGCGGAAGTTAAAATCATTAAACCAAATTTTCTGTTTGTTCTTTCATAATTTTTTTGTTCATTTCTTATGAGTGGAAGGCCGTGTCCATTAGAGATAGGTTTACGAAACTTGAATTTCGCGCAAAGTTCCGTGACCTTTTGCTAGTAGTGTTGACAGGGCTTTTCCAAAAAATGTGTTTAACACGAGTATGCGCGTCTTATGCACCCCTCCCCAGCTGACACGTTCACTTGATGGTTTTTATTGATGTTTCAAAACGAATGAGAAGGGGGCGGCAAAATACAGGCGGCAAGTAGGAAAATCCGGCCCTGTCATCGTGGTGCTCTATGCCTACACAGTAAGAAAAGTTTTTTTTTTTTTTTTTTTTTTTTTTTTTTTTTTTTTTAAATTCAAAGTTTGGAGCCCTCTCTCAGAGACAATGAAGAGACCCTCCACTACCCTCAGGTGACAGGTGTCCTCAACCGACAGGTGGAAGCTTTTAATTTTGGAGATTCAACAATTCCTTATGGACAATTATAAGGGAACAACAGTCATCACCCTAATTTCGGCTGTTGACCTACCTACATGGTGGTGGATGATGAGCTTCGGGTGACGTCATGAGCCAAAAAAGTTTCCCAAACTTCGGCCATTTTCGGCTTGTTATGTAAATCGAAACTGCCAACACGTTGTTGAACATCAACCATGTAGGTAAGTCAACAGTAGTGCTGAAGTCCCGAAAATAAAAGCTTCCACCATGGCCGAGATACTAGTGGAGGGTCTCTTGTCTCTGCCTTCTCTAGTTTCGGTTAATTTTAGCATTAGCCGCTAAAAAAACAGCCTCTGCACTTGGTTAGAACATATCCATGCTCCAGTCTTTCAAATTTTCAGGGAGTCGAGTCTCAATCTCCCATGACCCCATTTATGATTCGAGACATGCTAGAATTGGATGGAATTTTATGCATAAAGGGCCATATCTAGCCGGAACGTTCTGAAACAATTAGTATGTGCAAATGCTAAGGGATCCATCCTAAGATATGTTAGATGGAGACGCATTTGCAATCAGAAAAAGAAGGAGAAAGCAATTAGGAAAAAGAGAATTGGGAGAGAAAGAGGATAAAGAAGGAAGAGAATAAGAAAAAGATGGAGGAAATAGAAGAAAACGAAGGAGGAGTGCATAAGAACGAACATATTTTCATCGTATTTTTCCTGTTCCTCCTCTAGTTACTCGTTTTTTTCCCTCTCTTGCTCCTCATCACCTTTATCTTCATCCTCTCCTTATGAATCTTCTTCCTCATCTTCATTTTACTCTCATTCGTCTCCGTCAATTGATTTTAATGAATATTGCGTTTGAAAGACCCGATTTGTTCATGTATCAGTAGAGACGCCCCTTCAATTAGGAGGTAGGCAAAATACGCAACAGTCCGATGAGCATGTCGTAATGATTTCAATTCATCAATCACACTTCTTTGTAACTTGAGTTAAGTACAGGGATATAGTGTACTTCCATTCTGCCGTGCAAAGGAAGAACGTCGTATGAAGTCATAGTTATTAATATTTAAGTGCTGACTAAATATACTAAATCTATAATTAAAAAAGATATTAATCATTAGCAATAGAGAAGGAGAGGTAGAATAATATATACATAAAGTAACATAGTTATTAATATTTAAGTGCTGACATAAAACAGCACTTAAATATACTAAATCTATATCTATTCTGCAATAGAATTTGAAAATTTGAAAATCGCCAAATTTCCCCGGATAAAAAATGTCCCATTAGAGGAAAATTATGCATATCACGCCTCGAAATTTTACGATGTTTCAGAGATAATCCCGAACACAATTGTCTGAAAAATTTTTCAAACGAAAAAACAAATTCACAATTTCCTATTCAAATTCGTTTTTTATCGAAGGAAACGCGGCAACGTCTGAATGCTCAAACTCATACGGCATTTTACCTTACACTGAAAAAAAAAAAAAAAAAAAAAAAACACATTGGATCTAGAGTCCAGTCTCTTGAAAACATTGACAAGAAAAAATACTCTTGATTCAATCAGATTTTTCCTTAAATCAAAAGGGAATTAAGAGGCTTGGTTCTTGATTTAAGCAAAAATCCGATTGAATCAGGAGTATTTTTTCTTGTCGATGTTTTTAAGAGTCGGGACTCTAGATCCAATGTGTTTTTTTCCCCAGTGTAGCAGGTCATTGTGGTGTTTTGAGAATGCTATCGAAACATCAGCTTACCCCACAAAACTAGACAATTTGATAATCCGGTGAAAAAACGACTACAAAGCCCGAAACAACCGCGTGATTCTTCAACAACACAACGTTAAATCGGATGAACCACGGTTGAGAGAGAATCGACTTTAAATTTAAAGGACTAGCATGTCCTTTTGAGGTTAATCGTTGCTCGGTGCTGGTGTTGAGAGAGGAATTCCGTTTCAGCCGCCCTGAAACGGGAACGAATCGATACGGCACTGCCGAGAAAATGTCGACAACCGTTCCCTTTCCCGCGCTTCCGCGTTTGCGCCCCTGATCATGGGCGCACAGTGGATCGAGTCGATAGGAGAGGTTGGACCTGAAATTTTTAACTAAAATTGCAAATTTTGATGTTTGATTCGTTACATTTGACATTTCAAGGGGTGATTTGGAGAGAAAATTTTACGAGGAAACCAATGAGATCACATTTAGGACCTCAAAGTTTTGTATACAAGGAGTTATAAGTGTTTAAAGGTTCAAAATTTTGTCCGACTTCCCTTACTGACTCGCTCTAGTGTGGGACATTCGCATCAGCTGAGAGTTATATTCGGGGGAGCCAGGGCTGTTCATTCATAATTTCCGACGGGGGCGCGGTAAAAATGCCCCTTGGAATTTTCGAGGATTCGGAAAAAGTTTTCCCTAATTTTTAGGGACTTTTCCCCAGGCGCAGTGAAAATCAAGTTTAATGCAGATATGGTCAAAGAATTTTAAAATTATTATGTTGCACATTTTTCAATCACTAAGAGCGGTGACGACCCCGTCAAGCCTATATAGCGATCTCCACCCGAGAATGCGGGAGCCGCTACTGTATCTTACACGAACCCGTTCAACCTTCTTCGTATTAATCCAACTGTTATAATTATTTAAACCCCAGCAGTTTATATAAATATATTAATATGTAAAATTAAAGATAACTCAGCTAAATATTTAGATTATAAAAATCTTGATTATATTAATAACCACGACTCCTCTTTTACTTCGCCCTGGTAAAAATTGGCAGTAGAATCTGTGTTCCAAAATACCATAGACCTACGGCCGGCTGTAAGATTTCCAATAGTTTCTATAGCCGGCTACACAATTTCTTAGAGCCTTTTATAGTGAATGGCGATTAAGCAACTCACAGCCAGGCGATAAAGTGTATGCTAAACGTCACTAATTATGGATGCTAGGACTTAGTGAGTTTTTGGACCACTGCTCTCTTTTTGGGCCGTAGTATCTTGATTTATCTTGCGAGGAAAGCTCCGTACTTTTGATAGATGCCTGCCATTCCTAATATATTAGAGCGCCTTCAGTTTTGTATGATACTGTGCACTACCTCTGGTGTGAAATAGTTGCTTCAAATGTCGTGGCACGCTGCGGTGCGGCAGGCGGGCAGCCAGCGCGAAACACGCATTGGCGCCTACAAACCTAACAGGGATACTTCACGCGTTGCGCAATGCGTGAAGTATCCCTGTTAGGTTCGTAGGCGCCAGTGCGTCGCCGCTCCGGTTAGACTCTAATACTTAATCTGGCGGAGTCAGCGTTTTTCAACTCATGATTTTGAAATGTTTGCAGATCCTGTATGGATTATTCTCGTTTTAATTGATGAATAAAAAATATGTATACAAGGAAAATATAACGCGTGTTTTGTAAATATTAAGGTGGTTCCGTATCAAACTTAATGATTTCCGAAGCACACGAATCTCTACACAATTTCTTATAGCCTTTTATAATCGATGGCGAAAAAACAACAGCCAGGCGAAAAAGTGTAAAGCCCGGCTATAGGAACTATAGTCCGGCTGCATAATTTTTTATCGCTTCGTATAGCCCGGCCGTAGATTTTCTCCGCATTCTACAGCCAGCTATATGATTTTCTGTAGCCTTCTTTATCCGGCTATATGAATTCCTATGGTATATTGAAACGCAGCTCTTATCGCCGATTTTTACCAGGGCGGATAGTAGCTCCAATGGTTGCAAAGAAAAATATGACTGTCATAATTGAATGAGAAATAATATCAAGAGACAGGAGGAATATGAATTTATTTCTAATACTAGAATGATGAGCTAACAATAAGTCGAATATTTCTTCGGTCTTTAGACACCGCCACAACAGGCAATCTTAAAGACTTTAAGACAAAGTGACTCGCCGCTTGCCACGGCGCGAAAAGTTGCGTAAGTCAAGAAAAAATTTAGGGAACCCGTCGAAAGTTTGATTTCAAACGTGAAAATTCAAGAAAAAGGACCATATCTTTTAGAAAGAAACGTTTCAAATAAAGGTTAGATTGAGTAACGGATAACGCCTGAGACACGAGGCGTCTCGGGTGTTTGGCCGCGAAGCGGTCAGGGGGCGTACCCCCTTTTATTATTAAATAAAAAGATACCCCTATAGTAAAATAGAGAACCTAAAAGATACTCTACCCACCCACCCACCGCCTCGCGCCTAAATTCGGCCACTTCAGCAATTATTTTTCTTAAGATATAGAGTGAGCTCAACTAGTGGATATTACGTGAGGACGTAATGATGGTCATAAAATTTGGCCCCATAAATTTGAGAAAATGACAAAAAGGAAAAAGTACGTAATTTAAATGAGAGAGGTCATAATTTAATCTCTTAAAATTTAAAATCCCGGAGCATAATTAAAAATTTTGAAGGAGCAGGCTCATCTAGTGGTCATTACCTGCCACTATTCGCAAATATAACGGAAATCAGTCTAGTGTCCTTCTAGGACGAACCATGACAAAAACGAAAATGTTGAGAGTCGTCAAGAAGCTTAAATGCGAATATAATATGATCAGAGGTTTGAGGAATGGAAAACACAAGCAATGGGTGGATCAAAATACCGGTCCGTTCGTTATGAGCGTGTTGCATGAAAAGATAAAGTAGGTAATTGTTTTTCAGCGCTGTCGGCTTATTGCGTCGTTCTTATTTTTTGAGATGTGAAGGAGGAAAAATTCGCTTTACATACTATCCAAGACATGTCCTCTAATGGAGCAAAATTATTCAGATTGGGTTCCTACTATTTTACAAACATATTCAAGAGAGATTTAGTGGTCTTCTAATCGATCGACAAACCCGTCATGAATCAATATACAAACCTGTGGAACATTCGACAAATCCATAAATCGATCCACAGAGCTTGATCATAACACCGTGCATCGTGATTAGATCGAATTCTCAGCCCCTCTCGATCAAATAGATATCGACCGAGTCGCTGTCGATCGCTTCGAATTTTTAATTTTTCAATGAACTAAACCTCAACAGCACTCACCTGCGCGCCGATTATTGAAAAAGTTGAAAGTATTGCGAGAAGACCTCGAAATGCGATATATTGCATGGCTAAGATCGTGCTATATCGTTTCGTATCGACATTCAATAACCGCGGGCCGGTGGATCCTCCTAGAAATTTCCTTCGATAAAATGTTTATTTTTAAGGAAAGTTATGAATATTTTGCCTTGAAATTTTTTGAAACTTCGGGTAATATTGTGAACAAAATTATGTGAAAAATTAGAAGGAAAATATTGACAAATTTTCCAGGAAATTCGTGATTAACCAAAGGAAATTTGGCAACGCCTGAAGGTTCATACGGCGTTCTTCCTTAGCACGGCAGTATTCTGTCGTGCTAAGGAAGAACGCCGTATGAACATTCGAGAGTTGCCAAATTTCTCTCGATAAAACATGTATTTTTGACGGCATTCGTGTACGTTTTTCTATGAAATTTTCAGATTTTTCACATTAGATTGCGTATGAAATTGCCTAAACATTTTGGGGGAAAATATTCACAATTTTTCCTGCAAATTCGGTTTTGATTGAAGGAAATTCGGCGACGTCTGAACGCTCATACGGCGTTATTCCATAGCACGGCAGTATTGAAACGTCCTCAAATGACTTTGATCGATAGTTAGTATCGTTGAAATAAAGAGATATCGATCTATCGATTAAAATAAGGTTATTCGATTACAATTCGAACCCAGGCTGAGTAGATGAATGCGGGGGTCCATGATGAGGAGATTGGGGGACTCAATTCTCGATTTTTTCACGGAGCACGGCGCGGCGCAGCGGTGGGCGAAGGTCACCGAAAAAATTTCGACGCAATTTCTATTGATTTAGAGACACGCGTCTCCTGGAGTGGTACCTAATTTTAGCATAGCCCGGTCCTCGCCTTGCCAGGAAGTAGGCAGCGCGCAGGTGAATGTTGACGGTGCGACGTATGTACACAACGGGACTTTCGCGGGTATATCTCCCGTATTTTCCGGACGAGATATTCAGGGTGTCCCGGGATTAGGTACGAATCTTTAAGGAGTCGATTCTTTGGGTCCAAAAAAGACGTTTTAGTGGTATAACTTTTCTTCAAACTACGGTCCTCCGGAGTTGGAGAAAAAAATCGTCTTTTCAAGACTGTGACAATGTTTATCAACCGATATTAAAGAAAATTGTTTCGTGGGGGTAATTTTTAGCGCTCTTCACATTTTGGCCTCCAAAAAAGGGAGAATTTGTTTTGAGGGGGGGGGGGGGTATCGAACCTACAAATGGCCAAAATTAATGTATTAATGTATTACAAATTTAAAATAAATGCAATAAAAAATATTTTGACTGCATCACCAAATTTAGTGTTAAAAAATATTGTGAAAATGTGTCTTGCGTTTTTTCGGAATATGACTCATCGTTTTCGAGATGATAGGGACTAATAGGGGATTTAATAGGAGGATAATGGGGCTCCCAGGAAAAGCGTTTTTTGGAAAACAAGTTATACCACAAAAACGTTTTTTTTTTTTGACCCAAAGAATTGACTCCTTCAATATTCGTACTCAATCCTGGGACACCCTGTAACTAATTGGACTACATTTTGCAATTTGGACCTATAAGTTCCGGTCCGGTTTAAAAACAACGTATGTGTCATTAGTTTCCCTACGCACATAAGTGTTTTCCCAGAAGAGCCAGAATTTATAGTTCCAAATTGCAAAATAAAGTCCAATTTGTCTTCTGATTTTCCATATCGACGGTGAAACCGCAGAAACGCGTATTTCAATCGCAGCGTTGCCAACTTCCTGCCCTTTTATTTTTTAAATAAACATTTTTTAAAGTAGCCAGATTCTTATCAATTCGTCGGTTAGCACAGGGATATTAACCCGGTCTCCTAGTTATTAAATGAAAAATTATTACCGAACGTCATGTCTTGAGAACGTCAGTGAATTCTCCTCTCTGCATAAGGAATATTCTTTTTAAAAA